GTCGGTGTCGTGATCTATACATAACACCGGTTGGGGTATAAACGCTTTTCATGTTTCCATTGTTTTGGTGATTGTCGTGGATTGTTGTAAACTCCTGGATAATTTGATTTATGTTTCATGTTGAATTGAAGATTGTTTTAAATAACGAACATGAATTATTTTTCGCTGCTTAATAAAGTTGATTCTTAAGGCTATGGTAATTGTGTTTATCCGAAAGGTGTTACGTATCTCTTTTATTACTTTGAGCAAATTATGAATTGTTTTGAGAAGTTGTAGCATCCTAAATGTATTTTGAAGTAAAAAAAAAGATTACTCTGATTTTTTTTATATTATTAATCGTCGGGGAATTTAGCGTGTTACACAAGCTAACTTAAACAATTGGACATAACAAACAGACAATTCAAAATAGTAACAACCCTAGCATTTCGACACCCACATACTAGAACACATTTCAACTACAGTATGTAGGTCTTCGACACCAACATGTGAACATATTTCGATGACATGTATAAATCTTGTCGAACCAGAAGCTACTCTTCGACCCAATAGAGTTTGATCCAATATCTCCATATAACATACTCGGGAGTGAATTATATCATTTGGAAATTTGTCATTACCTTGTTATGTAAAACTTTTTCATCTCCTGCAATTAAGTGTTATCACGGTAAGAAGAAGGGTCATACAAGAAAGGTGTGTCCTGAACGCTTGAATAATCATGGAAGTAAGGATAATGGCAACGCGTCTATTGTGCAAGATGATTTTGAATCATATGATGTTCTTATGGTTTCAAGAAGCGACTCGAGTAAGGAGTGGATTATGAATTCAGAACGTGCTTGGCACATGACTCCAAACAAATATGTATTTGAGGAGTTATGCGATCAAGATGGTGAATCAGTATTGCTGGGAAACAACAAAGCCTGCAAAATTGAAGGTGTTGGATCTATGAGATTCAAGCTCTATGATGAGTTAATAATCTTATTGATTGGTGTCAGGTATGTACTTGATTTGAAGAAAATTTGATTTCTCTTGGTGAATTCGATAAGAAAGGATATATTTTTAAATGAGAGTAATGTATCCTAAGGGTAATGAAGGGGTCTAAGGAAGTTTTGAGACGCATCAAAAGGAAAGGTTTGTATACCCTTGAGGCTCAGGTTATAATGGTTCAGAAGATGTGGTGTCCATAAAAATTATGTCAAAGACTCAGTTATGGCACAAGAGACTTGGCCATGTCAATGAAAGAGGCCTATTCGAATTGTCGAAACAAAATCTTGTATGTGATGACAAGTTCGAAAAGCTGGAGTTTTGTGAACCTAGTGTATTTTGTAAATCCTGTAAGGTGAAGTTTAACAAAGGTAAACAAAGAACACATGGATCCCTTGATTATATCCATGTTGATCTTTGGGGGCCTACAAGAAATCCCTCACACTCAGGTGCAAGATATTTTTCTATCCATAGTTGATGATTACTCACTAAAGTTATGGGTATTCACTCAGAAAACTAATTTCAAAAGTTGGAAGACTCTGATCGAAAACCAAACTGATAGGAAGGTCAAGAGGTTGAGGATTGACAATGGTCTTGAATTTTGCAATGAGGCTTTCGACAACTTTTGAATTGCGTCTGGTATTGCAAGGTACATAACTACTGTAGATACTCCTCAACAAAATGGTTTAGCTAAAAGGTTTAATCGAACTATTTTGGAAAGATTTAGATGCATGTTATTTAGTGTTGGATTGAAGAAGGTTTTTTGGGCTGAGGTTGTTTCGACAGCATCATATCTGATAAATAGGTCTCCCTCGACTACCTTGGGGATGAAGACACCTGAACAAGTCTGGTTGGGACATTCACCAAATCTCGACATACTCAGAGTATTTAGTTGTGTAGCCTATGCTCAAATTAGGCAAGAGAAGGTCGAACCTAGAGCTCTGAGATGCATGTTCATGGGGTACCCTAAAGAAGTCAAAGCTTATAGGTTGTGGTGCCTAGAGTTAGGTCACAGGAGGTGTATCACGAGTTGGGATGTAGTTTTCAATGAAGCTGACATGGCTTTCAAGAAAGTTAATGATGTTGATTGAAATGTAAAAAAAATTGTTGAAGAGTTAGAACAGGAAGAGATTCCTTTTGAGGTGGACTATAATGATGCTGAATTGCAAAACCCAAATGAAGTCGAAGAAGAAGCAGAAGTTACTGATGAAGATGAGGAAACTGATAATGACTACTTATTGGCTAGAGACAGGTCGAGAAGAGTCATTAAGCCACCTCTAATACTTGGTTATGTAGATCACATAGCTTTTGCCTTAATCTCTGCAAGTGATGTTCTTGATGAAGAACCTAGAGACTACAAGGAAGTTGTAAGGAGTCAAAATAAAATTGAATGGATGATGAGATGAAATCTCTTCATGATAACCATACTTGGGAGCTGATAGAAAAACTTGTAGGAGCCAGGTTAGTCAGCTGTAAATGGATATTCAAGGTTAAGTAAGGAATCAAATGAGTGATATCAAAGAGATAAAAGGCAAGATTGCCTGCTAGGGGATTCACTTAAAAAGAAATATTCGACTTCAATGATGTGTTCTCACCTGTTATAAAGCATAAATCCATCATAATATTGTTAGCTATGGTGGCGAAGTTCGACCTAGAACTTAAACAGATGGATGTGAAGACCGCTTTCCTGTATGGTGATCTAGATAAAACAATCCCGATGAGGTAACCTGAAGGGTATGCAGAAAAGGAAAATGAAGATTATGTGTGCGAGCTGAATATGTCGTTATATGGCCTGAAACAATCTCCTTGGCAGTGGAATAGGAGATTCGACAAGTTCATGGCACACATAGCTTTCGCTAGGAGTCAGCTCGACCATTGTGTTTACTTCAAATATCGACTTAGAAATTCACTTGTTATTTTATTGATTTATGTAGATGATATTCTCATAGCAAGCAACAATATCGATGATATAATGAAGGTGAAGGTTGAACTCAATAAGGAGTTCGACATGAAGAATTTGGGAGTTGCATCCAGGATTCTTAGAATTGACACTCGGAGAGATAGAAAGTAGTTGATATTATGCTTATCTCAAGAGACATACCTAAAGAAGATACTCGACAAATTTGGTATGTCAAATTCAAAACTTGTTGTAACACCGACAACTAATCTTCGGTTCAAACTAAGTTTGACTCAAAGTCCTAGTATTGAAATCGAAAGAGCATATATGAATAACATTCCATATGCTAGTATAGTAGACTCTTTGATGTATATTATGGTATGTACGAAGTCAGACATAGCCTACGCAGTGAGCCTTGTAAGCATGTATATAGCCAGTCTCAGGAAGGCACATTGGTAAGTATTAAAGTTGATTCTAAGGTACATAAATAGGTCTCTGAGCAGAGGCCTGATTTATGGTGAAGTCTGTGGTGATGATAATAAAGCAAAAATTGAAGGATATGTCGACTCTGATTATGCAGGTTGTATGGATTTCAGAAAATCTATTTCTAGTTAATGTTTTCACTATGTTTGACTCAACAATCAGTTGGAAAGCTACACTTCAGAAGGTTGTCGCCTTATCACCACTGAAGTAGAATATATTGCCCTCGCTGAAGTTGTGAAAAAAGCATTGTGCCTTGAAGGTTTTTCTAAGGAGCTAAAACTTCAAGGTCAAGTTATCACTGTTAAATGTGATAGTCAAAGTGTCATACATTTGTCAAAGAATTCAGCCTATCATGAGTGAACCAAGCACATCGATGTCAGGTTGCATTTCGTCGGAGAAACAATCGAGCGTGGATAAGTCCAAGTGTTGAAAGTTCTGACATATCATAATGTTGTTGATATGATCACCAAGACATTACCAAGCTGCAAGTTTTTCCACTGTATGCAGTTGATAAAGTTGCATGAAGAAAACTAGTTTGTTCCCTTGATGTTGTAGAGTTTGTTCTAAGGTGGAGATTTGTGATATATTGGATCGAACTCTAGTGTTGACAGGGTAGCTTGTTGGTTTGACAGAAGTTTAACATGCAGTCGAAATCTGCTCACATGTTAATGTCGAAGTGCTAGGAATGTTAACATGTCGAATTAAGCTGGTGTTTAAAACCCAATTGTTTAAATTAACTTGTAGTCTAAGTTAGCTTAGTAGTTTATAAATAAACTAGTTCTCTCAAGTTGTTGAAAGAGGTTGATTATTTGTATTCATTTGTAATTTTTAAACCCTTATTAAATCAGTGAATAGAAAAACAGTTACAACTTACTTTCTTCTTCTTCTCTCTTCTCTCTCTCCTTTGTAAAAAATCTAATAGAGTTTTTTTGTATTTGTTAAGAAACTGGACTCCAATACAACAAAAAGCTTTGCTTTCTCTTTAACCCTTTTCAAGTACTATATGATTATTTATTTCACTTCTCTTTTCACCCCTTTTAAGTTGCTGCAACTCTTTTTCTTTATTGCCTTTTTCAATATGGAAAAAAGGTTGTTAATCATCCTCTAGTGGTCCTCATGTTCTACTTGGAAACTCACAATATTGATACATATATCCCATACTTCTGTATTGTGTAATTACTGAACTTTACAACATGTTAACTACAATCTTAGCCCCCCAAAAAATGAATTAATGATCACATAACTATTTACATTTTATCTTATAATCTACTTGCACGAATCGACTATACAACCAAAAAATACGATATGTGAAACATGTACATAGTTGAATTATGACTGCTGTTGAACTCCTCTTCCCGGCAAAGAGCGATCATTAGCACGGTCGATACTTTTCCAAATAATATATTGCAGTCGAAATCAACTTCCTGAAAAGAAAGAATAACATTTTAGATGTGTATGAAAAAAAAAACAAATTGCAGCATGTATCTTCCAACGAATATGAAAGATGATGCTTACAATAACTACACAAGGTCGTCGCGGAGGACCATTATGCTGAATTCTTCAATAGAATACCGAGTTAACATCAGCTGCAATGTGTAGCTAGCACTGCAGGGTGTCAATAATAGATGTTACTTTCATGCTATGACTCGAAATTGAAGACACGTGCAACTGCCATATAGAGCTGCTCTTCTTCGAATGGCTTCGACACATAGTCGTCCATCCCACATTTTTTGCATTCTTCATTTGATGCCGGAGTTACATGAGCTGTCATAGCTAATATTGGAGTGTGCCAATAAGAATTGTTGCCAAACGTCTCTGCCAATGCTTCCCCCGAAGCGATTTTTTCATTTACCTCGTTCTCCATATACCGGATTTGCCTCGTCGCCTCAAAACTGGAACAGTAAGAAGAAAGTACTGATAAATTACGAGTTTATAATTTCATCACAACCAATACTAAACAAAGGAGGAATAGGAAGATTTCTTACCCGTCCATTTCTGGCATTTGGAGATCCATGAAACAAGCATCGAAACTATGTGGTGGTTTAAGCATCTTTAAAGCAACCTTACCGCCCTCAACGCAGGTAACTACTGCTCCGTATTTTCGTAGTCCACCTTCTGCAACTTTTCGGTTCACCGCATTATCATCAACCACCAAAATTCGTTTGTGCATTAACAAATTTCCAAGTTTGGATAGTTTCTTTCTAGTAATTTCTTTTTTCCCAGTTCCGGGCGATGACCTGTAGTATCGAATCAAAGCATTTAGCCAAAGCGGCTTCTTTAGTATATCATCTATGATACCGACAGACTTCAGCTCGTTGCGCTCGCCGAAGCTTAGATGGGCGGACAGGAGAAAAATCTTTGAAAATTTTAACGGGTCCTCTTTGATGCCATTATGTACATGTTTCTTGATTTCGAATAAGCTACTACTTTCCTTGTCCCAGGTATCCTTCTCTATGAGAATCATGGCTAACTGTCCTGACATACTGAAGAATTCACGAACCGAAACAAAAGTAAAAAAATTAGTAAATAATTGCGTGTGATGTGAATGTTTATCTTAAACTGAAAAAACAAAACACTACCTTGAGTTGCAAGTTTCGGATAAACAAAAGCATGCAGATTGAAGACTGAAACTTACATCCACAGACATCCCCAACCTCTGCAGGTGATATCGTGTAACCTCGGCTCGGATTTTTCTTCTATCTACTACTAATGCATTCAATCCTTGGAACTCGGGATAGTTCTTCTGCAACTTATCATCCCGAGATTCGGTTTGTCCTTTCCTGAAATTTCCAGTAAACGAAAAAGTACTTCCGATTTCAGGCTCACTTACAAATCCAATTTCTCCTCCCATGAGGTCAACTAGACATTTACTAATGCTCAATCCTATTCCAGTTCCACCGTATGTTCGAGATGTAGAACTATCCGCCTGCATAAAAGGTGTAAATATGCGGCTTTGTGCATCGGTAGGAATTCCTATACCAGTGTCCTCAACCGTTACTAGTAGTTGAATAGTTTCAGACTCATCCGATAAATTTAACTTTTTAAAATTTTCCCAGCTTTTCCATCTGTTGCCTACAGGAAATCCACTCAACGTGTTACATGTTCTTTCCGATATGTCGTGACTCGTGTTTAAGCCTTCTCTCAGCACTGGATCCATGATATGAAGTGGATTCTTTACTTCATTTGAAAGATGAATCGACACAAAAACATGTCCTTTATCATGAGTGAACTGAAATGCACCAAGTAAAATAATTAACAGGTATTATAAAACAGCAACGGTTAAAAGAGAAGATAGTGCAACGTGAAATATAGCGAACCTTAAGTGAGTTTCCGACAAGATTGGTAATTATTTGCCGGAAGCGTTTAGGATCGCCAATGACAACTTGAGGTACTTGGTTGGACGCATAAACAGCCAACTGTGCCCGACCAAAGGTTTATGTAAGACTTCTTAATGCCGAAATAATTGGAGGTACGGAACAATGTAAAGTATCTAAAGTTTGGGTTTTACCTCAATTCGTTTTTCAATGGATTTTTCAGAGAAATGTGATAGAACTTCATCGAGAATAGCATGTGGATGAAAAGCTACAGATTCGAGTTCAAGCCTTCCTGCCTCGATCTTAGCTTGTTCGAGAACCTCACTTATGACCGATATAAGATCTTTACCACTATCATGAGCAGTTTGGGCACAATCGATCTGATTGTCATCAAGATCGGTATCCATCAACATTTGCAGCATACCTAAAACACCATTCATTGGAGTCCTGATCTCATGCGAAACTGTCGCAAGAAACTGAGATTTTGCTACATCTGCAGCCTCAGCGCGAACCATGAGCTCTTTCATTCGACGATAGTCATCCTCTACTTGAGCTATTCGATTTATTGCCACATGAAATATATGTCCAAGAAGCAAGGTAATAACAAATACCCCCACAGATGCATTGACTGCAGTCCAAGGAAATGGAGGCATATGCGTGAACCTGGCGAAAAAATTGGAAATATACCGATATGAAAATTCAATTCTTGTTTGATCATAAAATAGAGCTTTATAGTGAAAACAAACCTGCAGTGCATCTCATGTTTTCGTAGCGGGTCCCCAAAATCTAGACCGCTTACGTGTAGTAAGCCAGTATCAACAACATCGGTACCATACATTGTAATATGTGCAGATGCATTAGTTGTGTCATACACATTAACAACAATAGTTTGCTTGCTGGCAAGTTGGTGAAGAAGCTTGTCCACGAGTGATGGAACATCATAAGATGCGCCCAAATACCCGACAGTAGCTTCGATACGCTGTTCGGGTGTAGCATCTGGAGGAAGCTTAGAGCCATAGACAGCAAATGTAAGTACAACACCTAAGTGATTGGACTTTAGTAGTTTAAAAGGGGATGTCAGAACACCCTTTCCGGACGCCCTTGCTCGCAAAATATTCTCACGATCTTCCTATATAACAATGCAACAATATATTTTACTATAGATCAAAATAAGATTACAAGTAAAGAGCATTTCGGGTGATAGCAAACTACGAGAGGCGCACCTTCCCTGACATCATGTCAATAGATACAATATGAGAAACGGTTTCTTGAGCAAATATGACTGGTGCATATTCATCTTGAATGGGAGCCGGATCCAAGTTTTCTGGAATACAATCTTGAACTAATGCCTCGTTCTCGGTTTCCATTTTCTTAACTGTCCACCCGTGCTGCTTCTCAAAATTCATCCTATCGGAATGCAGAACTTTCAAAGCATAAGCAACGCCACTAGTAAGTGGTCTCTCAAATGCTGAACTCTCCGTATATTCTCCAAAAATATTCTGCAAAGAAACACAAGCTTCGATGTTATTTTTCCGGTAATCTCTATCTCTTCGATTACTTTCCTTAAAACGTACTAATATTATTAAGTATATGCTACCTGGTCAACTGCAGAAGGATGTTTACCATGATGAAATGTAGACACAAGAATAGCAAGAGCGTGAACATGGTTCAAGCTCACATTAAATTGATCTTGCAGCATACCGGCTCGCTCGTCACACATAGTGGCAAGCATTTCTTCTCTTCTTTGAACAATGTCAGAATTCAGGTGCCAAAATAGCCACACGGAACCAACAATTCCAAGTGAGACGAATATAACTAGCAACTTTTTTCTCCACCTCCCAGAAGCCTTCGAATGACCATGCATCATATGTTGAAGCGGCTTGTGTTGACCAGCGGAATTATCTTGACCTAGCTTCTCCCTTCGACTCCTACTTATTAAACACAAGCCAGACAACTTGAGCGACATTATAATTACAATAACGATCCAACAGAGCAAAACATTAACCAACTTGGACCACGGTGCAAAATGCAATGTCACATATGTTTTCCACGGGAATGAGAATGATAATCCAGTCCTTGCCTCAACAAAATCATCTCGAACCGGGCATTGTCCTAGAGACTCTGCAACACCTCTACTCTCCTTTAGAAACTCTTGATTCTTCGGACACATCGAATGTGGAGTTTTTTTGACTATGCCACCGCTTAACAGTATTTGAAGCCTTTTTTCATCAATACAGTTGGACAAAATCTGCATCATTATAGATCATATTCATAACTGCAACAGCCACTGTTTGTCACTTTTACTAAATTAACCAAAATCCAACAAGAAATCTAGTAATATTTGATAAAAATAATGCTGAACAGAAAGAACTTATTATACAGAAAAGTCCAATTAAGCAATAAAATTGAAAATTATCATCAGAAAGAAAGCTTATTTCACCTGATCTGATCCAGAGAACAAGGAAGCCAAAGCATGAAGCTGTTTTGTACTGACATTGTAACGTTGTAGCAATGTTTGTGTACTTTTTTCGCAAGCTGCTTCATAAGTCAAAGGCTTGTAATTGAAACTACTGAAGATAAACCAAACACTCCCTATAGCAACAAAAACACCAAAAACCCAACAGAGAAAGTGTTTCCACAAACATGTCCAAGTAGAATTAGACACATGCAAAGACTCATTTCCTTTCCTAGATTTGATTTTCTGTGACAATCTTCCATTTGAACCAGAAACTCTTCCATTCACAGACATCCTAAAAATCACTTCTTTGGTAGAACATTAAAAAAAACTGAACCACCAAACGCTCAAAAGCAAAAATTGAAGCAAACCCAGAACTTCAATCACAAAACCCACTTCAGAAAACTCATAAAGTTTGATGCTTTATCAACACAAAAAGAAGGGGGGAAAAACAAAAGGGTAAAAATTTGGATGAAACAAAACAAAACCCAATTCATATCTTAACAACAAACCAGTTCAAACTTCAAACCAAGGACTGTATTGTCTTTGTGAGTGGTTTTCTAAAGTTTGTTTTTTTGTTGTTGATATCTATGAAAGTTGAATGATGAGATATGAAACAAAACAAAAACATGAATCAATAATCACTTAAACACACAACACATAACAAGGTGAATCAGAGACAGTTGTATTGTTCTTTTTTGGCAATCTCAGTGAGTGAGAGAGTGAGATTGGAAGAAAAAAAATTGTAGTTTATCTGAAACTGGTTGTTTGTGGTTCAGTGAACTCTGATGAACCAAAAAAAAAGAGTATCAAGAGTGGAAGAAAGTGCCCATCACCTTGTAGTTTTGCTGAGATAATATTAACTAATTTTTGTTTTTGTTTTTCTCAAACTAAAAAATGACCCATTTTTTTTCTTATAATTAATCAATAGTTGAAAATATGTATGAAAGTAACATTATTTATCCAATACTTGAATGACATGATTTGGTTTAATTTTAACTTAATTAGGTGTGTTTGTCTAAAGTAAAAATTTATTATTAATTAATTAATTTTGATCAAAATTAATTACAAATAAAATAATTTATATTTAAATATATTTATATGAAAATAAATTGAATAAACAATTTCAATAACTAAGTTTAAGCTAAAAGTTATAAGTTTTGATTTTAAATTAAAATTAATTTTTAGAGAAAAATCAATTCAATTTAAAAATAATTAAATAATTAAAAATTAATTAATTTAATTATAATTTTAATCCTTCTATTTTTTCTTGATTTACGAAATTAATCATTTATTTTTCATTATTCATTATATATAAATTTATTATTGAACTTTATAAATAAAAATATAAGTTATAAAATAAAAAAAATTCACCGATTTTCTATAAAAAAATAAAAATGAAATTAAAACTGTTTAAATTTAAATAAAATAAAATAAAATAATTTAAATTTAAAATAGAAAAATTAATTTCGTAAATAAAATAAAATAAGAAAATTAAAACCGTAATTTAACTAAATTAATTTTATATTTTCAAAATTAATTATTATTGTTTTAAATATAAAATCACACATAAATTATATTTTAAGTTACAATTTGATTCGGTCCGTTAAATTTTATCAAGAGAAAAAAAATTTCATTTATTATAATGTCACTAAATTAAATGATTAATCTTTGCATTTATACAAATATATTGTTAATGTTAATAAAAAACTTCTCTCATTTTTAAAATTTGATCTAAACTATTTTGAGAAATTGGATCATTTAGTTATAGTAATTGAAGATATATAATTTTTTAAAATTATATATATATATATATATATATATATATATATATATATATATATATATATATATATATATATATATATATATATATAAAATAAATTTCTCTCTCCCTAGTTTGGTGGTGGGAAGCATTAGTTGAAAATGGAACATCATTATCTCATCATCATGTGGTGGGGGAAGCCTAACCAAAAGCAAACAAAATTCCATTATTTAAAAAATGAGTTGAATGATGAGATATTTTTAATATATTGATTCACATGATAGTTTATTTATTAGTATAATATTGGTTTTGAAAGAGTTGAAAAAGACATGACTTTGGTTGATGAGTGGTTTAAAATGAAGTACTCCAGCTGTGTTTGCTGCACAATACGGATTCATGACAGAAAAGATAAAGAGAGTCAGAAAAATAACAAGCATTGCTTCTGCTACTCAAACGCTGAGACTTGAAACACCTTCATACTAGTAAAACACAGAGAAAGGGTAATCATGGTATTGCATGTTGCTAAATATTTTCTAGTTACCAATTCTATCAAAATGTAATATAATACTTTTTTAAATTTAATTATTGTGAGATGAATAACAAATAATAATTAAGTTTGAAACTTTATTAGTGTGAAAAATGGGTGATTTAAATATTATAAAATTATAACTTATTTATTTAGTTTTGAAATTTAACTGAAAATATTTTAAAATTAAAATACAAACTCAGTTTAATCTATTTTACGTAAATATTATTTTGTTTTCAATTTATAAAAAAATAAAAATTTAATTAGAATTACATTGAACCCTGTGATTAATGAAGTATATTTTAATAATTTCTTTTTTTTAACCCATGTTTTGTTTAAACAATATTAGTGTGTATTTAATTGGGCGTTACTCTATGGTGTAAATTAATAATTTTTTTATTGACATAATTATATGAGTAATCTTTCAAATTATTTTATTCTAATAAATTGGTTTCTTAATTTTTTTTAATAATTTGGTTTTTTAAATTAACAAATGTATTTACAGTTTTTTTTTTTGTTTTTTTCAATTTTAGATTAAATCAATTACTTAAAATATATAAAGTTGTAACAAAATACATATATTAATATCATAAATATATATAGTAGCATTCAAAAAATATATAATTAGATCCTAATTCAACCAAAAAAAACATAAGAAACCAAATTATTACACAAAAAAAAAATTTAAAAGATCAACATATTACAATAAAATAACTTAAATGACCTCTAAAGTAATTATGTCTTTTTCATTTTAATTTTTAAAACTTATAGTATATTTTTTTAAATTGTTGGTTTTTAGTTCCAAAAATAAATTTTCAAAAAAGTATTCTTTAAATTTGTCATTACATTTTTGATCTCTCTAGTTAAATTTTGTTAACAAAAGATAATGTGGCGTGACATATAATTGTGATACGATTAGGCTTTGATGGTATTTACTTACTCGCTCATTCAGAAAGTTGTCCTAATATATATATATATATATATATATGGGCTTGTACAGGATCACCTAAGAAGCCCACTAGGAAAATTTTAAAAGGATACAAATATTTAGAATATAGTTGCAATCTTTCAAAGGTGTTCCAATAGAGGGCGTAAGCAGACTTTTTGGTGATAGCAAGGACTCACTTTATATTCAAGTTAAACATTTACATACTGATGACCCTGGGATCGTCTTCATAGGGTAAAATTTTGACAATGTATTTATGTGGGAAAGTGGCCTTGGAAGAAGAAGATGATTGTGATTTCAAGGGATAATTAATAACACGCTAACTACCTGGCGAGCATAACTTTTGCTCGAGGAGATAGAATCACCTTATATAGCAAATCCTCCAATTACAATGTTGAGGGTGTGATGAACATGTTCCCCTTTTATTCTATTTTCTGGTTCTTTATCCCTCATAGGCTGAGGGCTTCTAGGCCTATCACGCCTATAAGGTTGAGCTCTCTCTCTCTCTCTCTCTCTCTCTCTCTCTCTCTCTCTCTCTCTCTCTCTCTCTCTCTCTCTCTCTCTCTCTCTCTCTCTCTCTCTCTCTCTCTATGAAAGTGAGTGATGTACCCTGAACATATTGTGGAAATCATATATATTGTGGCCTTCGTGAACGAGACACTCTATGTTGTTCTTATGTTGGTGGCAACCATTTATATTGTGGCCTTTAACCTTAAGGTATTTGTACCATTTATTAGTTTTGTTTCCCAGAACTTATCATTTATGGGTTGGTGGTTCAAGTACGACATTGTAAAATATTTCTCACTATATTTCTTCTCGTATGTTATTTAACGGTGTGTAGTTTTCCAAAGGTCATCTGGGAGTCTTAAAGGTCCATTGATCCCTGATTAGTTGTCGATAGTTATTCTTCGTTGATTGGTGGAGTCTAATTTCCTTTTCATCTATAGATCTTTTCATTGTATTTATTTTCTCTTCATTCATGTTACATTTCGTTCTCATCATTATCTTCTCCATTGAGTTTGCAGGCTTTTGGCGAGAGACTCTTTAAAATATATGGCTTTAAGCCCATTATGGAAGGCTCGTAACAATATCTTGTGGTTGGGGTTTACCAGCTTGACGATGGCTTCGTTAAAACATGATAAGTACTCAAGTAAGGCTTCAAAGTAACCTTGACACACGTTAAACATGCTTGTGGTGGAAACCGTGCAATGTTTGTTGGTCAAAAACTGATGGATAAGTTTCTGGGATATGTCTTGATAGTTGGTTAAAGAGAATCTGAGGAGATTCATGTACCAACATAAGCCTGCCTCCTTTAGGGTTTTGGAGAGGAGCTTGCATTTGAGTGATTCAAAAGCACATATGATTTCCATTTGTGTGTTGAAGGCGATGATGTTTTTAAGGGTCGCTATTCTTATCAAACATCGCTAAATCAGGCAACTTGAAATTATCAGGGACTAAGGTATCCCATAATTTGGAGGGGCGTGGTTAAGGGCCCTCAACCTCTATTCCCTCATAAAATATATCGTCATGTTGTCGTTGTTGTTGAATGGTATTGAAAGTTGCTTGCAGTTTTTGGTTATGGCGATACTGTTCATCCGTAGAGGATTACATCTCCGCTTGGGCTTCTTGATCGCCAATACTAGATGTAATGGGTGTAGTCACCATTATGAAACGGTGGCTAAGTCAACAAAAACTCTTAAAAAAGTGTAATCCAATAACGTTTTATTGGATCCATAGTAGGCGTCAACTATATGTATTGTGAGTACATTAGTACAAACTATGCATGTGATATGTCAAGCAAAAGATCGTCTAGGTGATTTATAAAGAATGAGATCTTTCAGACTAACCTTTGAGATGAATATATATAGCCCATGTGATCTAGTGAGATGTGTAAAGTCTTAAGGTTATTTCCTCGATCTTGACAAATATGACACTGCTCCATTGAAAAGAGTGGTGGATAACTCACCCAGAAAATATCTTAGAACATGGTGACGTCGCCCACAAGTCAAATTTTACCCTAGTTTCATGAACATTATCTAAGATCTCTCGTACTTTTC